CAGTTGTGGAGTTGTGGAGTTGTGTTACAGGACTACTGTTTTAATATTTTAACATTTAAAAACGATGAAAGATGCACTGTATAGTTCCTTTTGGAGTTTTTGTTGCTATCCTTTTCTGATCAGTGTTTTTGTAAAAAAATATATATATATTTAAAAAATGAAATGCAGGCTCTAGTATCATGGATGGTCAGATTTTTACCAAATTTAATGTATTTAAGCATTTTCAATAAAAACACTTGAACTAGGTTTTGTCTCATGTGTGCCTTAATTGGGGATCAAATAAAAAAAAGTTTTTTACCTGATTAATTCATTTCCAATTAATTATACTATATTGAGTTGGACTACCATAAATCAATTTCATTTCATTCATGGTATTTTTTATTTAGGCTGTATTTGATTAAATTGAGTTGAACTAACATAAATCAATTTCATTTCATCAATGGTATTTTTTTATTTAGGCTGTATTTGATAAAATTGAGTCGGACTAACTCAATTCAATTATATTACATGGATGTTTTTAGTTTAAGTTAGGTTTAACTATATTTATTGGATGGAAAACCTGCCCACAATTTAATTGAGTTCATCCAATGAATTATTTTTTTGAGTGTACAGAACACAGTACATTAAACATTACAAAACATTACATAACAAGTTAAGAAAAAAAAAAAAAACACAAATAGATGAAATAAAATTAAGTAAATAAATAAAGTAAATAAATAATTCCCCCACCCAAACAAAACAAAAAACAAAAAAGGTTGGTGCATAAAGTGACACAGCACAAAGAGACTGCAATGACAGTGTATATTGTAAATCAGAGCTCTAAATGGTTACAGTCCTATGGTACTGTTAGTGTTGTACCCATGTACTCCAAATAAGGCTGCCAGATTTTCAAAAATGAATGATATCTTTTTCTGAGACTATATGTGATCTTTTCAAGAGGAATACAACTGTTCATTTCCACAGACCATTTGTCGATGAGAGTGGGAGAATTAGACTTCCACGTCATTGCAATACATTTCCTGGCCACACATGAAGCAATTTCTGTAAGTTTAATTTGGAGCTTCGTTAAAGACCTGTTGAGAGCTGTGAAGTTTCCCAGTAAACATAGCTCAGGATCTAATGGAAAGGTAACCCCTGTGATCTTAGTTATTATATTACAAAAGTCATACCAAAAGGACCTCACCTTTGTGCAAAGCCAGGTACAGTGTAGGAAGGAGCCGACCTCTATACCACATCTGAAACACATTTCTGACAATTGGCATTAACTGTTGCTGACAAACTGTTCTTGCACAAATCTGACCAGAGTTCTTCATCAATTGTTATGTTCAAGTCTGATTACCATCTCATCCTGGATCTGTGTAATCCTGGTTTTGGGCCCTCATTCAGCAACATGGAGTACATTTTAGAAATAAATTTGTACACATTTCCCTGATGAAGCAATTTTTCCACGTTAGTTAACACAGGTAGAGTCATTCCAGGGCCCAGGTTGGTTCTCAAAAAGGATCTTAACTGGAGGTAACAAAAGAAAGTTCTACTGGGCAAATCATATTTTCTCTTCAGTTCTTCAAAAGACATGAGGAGTCCTTTATCAAAGCAATCTTCGAGATGCTGGATTCATCTGTCATGCCAAGTCTCCAGAATCTTGTTACTTAGAGTCATGGGCACAAGTTAATTTTGTATTAGAGGTGTTTTTGGTGATAGTCTCATATTTAGTCCAAGGGTTTTGTGAACTTCATACCATATTTTAATAAAATGTTTCAAAATAGGATTGTCTGTCCTCTTGGATATGGTTTTGGAGTTCCATTTATAAATAAAATCACTGGAGGTTTCTTCTTTCAGAGGATAAAGTGCAATTTGTATCCAAGAGGGGGCAGTATCACCGTCAAAAAATGACAAAATATATCGCATCTGGGCTGCTAAATAATATTTCTTCAAATTGGGTAGTCGAAAACCTCCTCGACTATAATCCCATGTTAATTTTTCCATTGACACCCTTGGCATTTTACAGTTCCATAAAACCTGCCTAATGTGTTTGTTGAGGGTTTTAAAAATGGTTTGAGGTAATGCAATGGATAAGGACTGGAAAAGATACTGCAACCTCGGGAGAATATTCATTTTCACAGTTTATTCGACCAATTAGAGTAATGGGTAGATTCATCCATCTGTGTAGGTCGTCCTCGATTTTACTCAGCAATGGGAGGTAATTAAGTTTGTACAAATTTTTAAGATCATTATCTATAATTATTCCTAGATATTTAATATTCGGGAGCCACTTAAATGGGGTTGTTTGTTGGTATTCAGTGTGATCGAAGTTCGTGAGTGGAATAATTTCACTTTTTTCCAGATTGACCTTGTATTCTGAAATAGCACCATAGGTGTTTAGTAGCATCTGTAATTTATTGAGAGAGTTAACCAGGTCTGTTGGATACAAAATTACATCATCTGCCAGGAGATTAATTTTATGATTTATTTGGTCCACTCTGAACCCCTTTATATCTGGATCCCGTCTAATTGCTTCAGCAAGTGGTTCAATAGCCAGGACAAAGAGTCCTGGAGACAGAGGGCAGCCCTGTCGACTCGATCTACTCAAGGGAAATGCTGTCGAAGTCTGTCCATTTGTGGTCATTTTGGCTCTGGGTTTATGGTAAAGGGTTTTCACCCAATTGATGAACAAATGGCCAAATCCAAACTTGTCCAAACGGGAGCCATTTGTGGACTGTCCATCACAAATACAAGATTGAATCCAAGAGTATGAATCTAAAATGCAGAAAAGAGAAAAGCGATATCTCAATCGAACCTCAACGATACTACCGGTAACATCGCGTGTGTAGCTATATATTGCGACGTCTTCGGGCAGTAGAAGCCACACTGTCAAAATTTCTTGCGAAATTTTCTAGTTAGTTGTTATTCCTGACTTCTATAATTATGCCCAAGGTTGTTTATAAGAAAAAATATACAAGTGAAACAAAACACATTTCGTATGAATGGAAAATTCATACCAAAAATGGAGCAACGAACTGAGTTTTAATTACATGTAATAACTGAGGTTAATAAAACAATGAAAACGCCTTTATTTCAGGTTTGCTGCAGCGACAAATTGTCCAGTTCAGAGCTGCTTTTGAAAACTTACATAAATGTTGAAGAGAGCATCTGCTGAAAAGATTCAACATCAAAGTGTCAATCCGTGATTATTTCAAAGCTGATTATCAGCATATACATAAAGACTACTCGCTGATAAAAATGACTCTAGTATCATGTAGGGTTTCGTTCAGTTACACGCTTCTTTTGCTCCACAAAAACGAATTAGATTCAGGTACAGCTCACATCTTGTCAACTTTTTTTATTGATACCAATCAGTTAATACACAATAGTAAAATACATCCAGCTCATAGAAAGGCATCACAAGGCTGACCATTAGTGAAGAAACACTCTGCATTTGCATAGAAATAAGTTCAGATATCTTAAGTATTTTTGTCTAAACAAAGAATCTGTTTTTTGTCACCTTCCAGCCTGTTTCAGTTGAATCAACCCTCTTCACACCTCGATATTCTATCTATCATGCAAGCTTTAAGTAGTGAGACCAACTCTCTCCTCTTTTGTGCATATGTGAATTTCTGTAATGTGCACTTGTGCAGAGCCACAAACATGAACAGGGAGTCAGGCGTCTCCTTTTGAAATCATTTCAGTCCTTTGCAGGAGCTGTGTCTGGCCATTCACCTCAGGATAGATTGAGTCTGCTGACTGAATTCAGATGAGCTTGACGCTGGAAAAGCCTGGACCTCCTCTCATCTATCCCTTCAGTGTGAGCAGGAGAACTGGCTCTATAAGGCTACCTCCCCTGATGTCTGAAGCAGCTGCAAAACACTGACAAAAGGTGACAACACAGGATTTTTCATTGAAACAGATGACTGATTTCACCTGAAAGAAGGAAAGCTTAAGGGGCTACAGTATGCCTTAAGTATGCACATTTGAAAATAAGGAGCGTATTGTGTGATTTTCAACTGGGATCTGAATAGTATGCATGTAATCAAGCACACTGACCTTTTTTGCCAGCATCATAAAATATTCATTGCTGCTGAACATATTACTGCATGCATACCATATTCACATTCAATCTTTATGAGGAATAATCAGTTTCTATTCGACAAATGCTAAATGTTACCTGATGTGACGAGTTTAAATCCAATATCTCTCTTTCTATATTCCTCTCTCTCTCTCTCTCTCTGCCAGTCCTTCACAATCACGCACACAGGAGTGGTCGATAATGATGATTCCCCATCTGATCTTTAAGTGCAGATGACTTTTTACCGCTGAATTTCTCCCCCTTCTGTTAATACCTGGCAACAGAGGGAGATGACTCGGTTCCATCACAGAAGGGCCGCATACAGACTATTTGCCAAAACAGCATGTGGAAAGTATGGTGTGCTTAATTCACAATGTGGATGTGTAATTCCTGCTGCTTCTGTTTACGCTGACAGCTTGATCACACATTTTAGGCAAAGACACAAACGTAATGGAGCAGTTGGTTCAAGCTTTTACTACAACCAAGTGTCCAATAATTCAGTGTTTTTCACAAGGGAGAGGAGTAATTCAGTTTATCACATCAGAAAACACAGCACTATTGCCTTTACCTTCACTCGGAAAGAGATTTTGAGTTAGTCTAGAAATAAAGAGCAAACATCTCATTTATTTTCCTAGGCTTGTAAAAAAAATAAAGAAAAAGAAAACGTTGAGGGTGGTTAAAAAACAAAGTTGTATTCTCAGCACCATGATGACACAGCCAGGAGCCACAGAGGCTGGGTACTTTATCAAATCCACCACACCGGTTCTTGCAGTCCTAATTATGCTCCAGTGCTTCCTGTTGTCTAGCACTAACTTCCAGTCCACTCTTGTGCGGCAGCCTTCCCACCAGCATGTTGTTTTTCGGTGAACAGCTTTCAGGCTCCATAGTCATCACCTGCACAGAGTAGCCATGAGTCTCTGCTACCCACGAGCGGTCCAAGTCTACGAGGCCCATACACTGTTTACCTGCAGTGGTACAAACAAATAAAATAAACCAGTTCTTAATAGAGAAAGGGACAATTTGTTACACTTGATTGTTTTCTTTGTGTGTATACTTACAGGAACAGACAAAATGAACAGGAATGCCTTTTATTTTACAATGCGAGGCAATCCATAATGACAGCACCACAAAGAACATCCTTAAAAGTTACGGTTACAAGAACGTAACAAGTTAAGCCTACCAATATTGGGTATTTAAGCAGACACAATACGGATATTTAAGAATAAAAAAATAAATGTTGTGGCATTTTATGTTACAGCTTCAAAATAACATGGCAATAGTGAAATAATATAGGTTATAATTCTGTAATACCATGTAATTACTGAAGTAATAACAGGCAATAGCTTGGTAATAACAATGGGTATATCTGGGTAACATTTGAAGATGGCAATCATTATAGTGCTACTATATTGGTTTGCATATTGTAGGTATTCCTGTTATTTTGTCCATTTCCTCTAGGTTCCCAGTATGCACGCGTATCCAATACCCTTCGGAAGCCCCTTATTCATCAACAACAACAACAACTGATAATCCCACTTTCTCTTAGGATTTCCTTTAAACAGACTTCAAATGTATTAGGCAGTTAGGTAGCAGGTGGCAGACACAGTAAATGTGAGCTTGGGTCTGTCATGCTGTCTAGATGGGCACAGTCACGCTGGCAGGCTCTGGAGAGATGGGATCAAACATGGTTAGAAAATGTTAGTGGGAGAGGTTGAGCCCTGTTAACTGATATAGAGCAGAAAGGCTGTGACAGGTGGTGTCAGGTACATATGAAAGGGCTTCAGACTGACGCGGCATTGGGGAGCCTCCTCGGATTCAGAGAGAAGCTTTGATAAGCTGGAGAACTATCAGGGTAAAGAGTGTTCCCACGCATAATGAAACACTGTACAGTGAAGCTCCAGCACAGGCCTGAAGGTTTCAGTCTGACAAAACACTTCCCTCTGAATCAGACAACGCAGATATGGCAACTGCTTTTTTTTCTCACTGAAGATATCCCTGCATTAGCATTTTTTACCTATCTCAAAAGTCTAGACCTTATGGAAAAGTAGAGCAGTGGAGTTAGGTCAGAGTTTAAAAAATCTCAGAAAACACCACATGACCTTGTACTAAGATTACTGTTCATGGACTGTTAATAGAATACAGTGGAATACAGTAGAATACAAGAATTGAGTGAGTGTTCAGCCACAAGGGGAAGATTACCGATGAGTCGCCTTTCAGGATGGAGCTGGACGGCAGTTTGGTCTGCGAAGCGACAGAGGATCATGTGTTCCTGAAACAAGGACGGACAATGAATACAGGAACTGTTTATTGAAGAGGTAAATAAAGTTCTGGAGGATATCCGTCAAGTCTCAGAACCACAAGCTCTTTCTTTTAGCGACAATAACAGCTAAATCCCGAACAAGATCAAGCAAAGATTTAAAGACTTGCATTTAAAGGATACAAAGATAGTTTTTATAAGGAGCCATTCAATGAAACTAACTCTATGATGCATGCACATGCACACAGGCATGCATGAATTTGTTATACTTATCTATCCAATAAGGTTTACTCCATCTCTATCTATCTCAGCATGCACTGGCTGAGAGGTAGGAAAACACCAGCAGATCTTTTTTAACCACACTAGCGGATCGGCAATGTCAGTCAGTCCACAACTTTGGTCAAGACTGAAATATCTCAACAATTATTGGATATATTGCAATAATATTTTGTACAGACATTCATATTACATAAAGGATGAGTCCTTCTGACTTTGTGATCCCTTAACTGTTCCTCTAGTGCCACCAGCAGGTTGGCTTCTGGATGGATTACCAAGAAAACTGTTTCAAATTGGTAACCAAATGTAATAAATTCGGTCAAACTCTCAATTTCCCCAAAACTTTGGTTTACGACCGGCAACTAACGACCATAGCTGTAGTTTGTGTTTAGCGCTAATAAGCAGATGTTAGCATGCTAACAGTCTACAAAGGTGAAACTGGCAAATATTTAAACAAGAATGTAAAATCAGCATGTAATACTTGTTACTGTAAGCATGATAGCACGCTTGTATTAGAATACAGCTTCGCAGAGACAGAGTGTGTTGTCTCTTTACAGTGTCACTGGACTTAATTTGCATGGTAAGCTCTTTAGATTCTTTGAATAAAATCAGCCCTTTAAAATATCCCAAAAGGCCAACTGAACCAGGTTACTTATTTCCAGTTTCTGTTTCTACCTCGCTATGGTTCATGGAACAAGTGAATGGGGAGAGTGGTTCGTCAGCTCTAACTTGCTTCTACTTTAATTGATTCAATTCCTCACTCCACGGGGTTGACGCTCAATGCAAGGCCTCGGAGCAGGTGCTTAAAGTTAGCGCTGAGCTCCAATACCTCACACCATTAGTCCTTTATCCCAGCCATACACCATTTGTCAATGTGCTGTCATTCTGTTTAACTGCTGTACTTCAGGAAGGACAACTATGGTTCTGCTATAAAACAATGAAACGCTTCTTTTATATCGGCAAGTGTTTTGCTGGGATTGTGGGAGACACAGGAAGTGGGCTGTACGCTGAAGTCCAAAAATAATAGAAAATACCAAACATGGTTGTTGAAAGCAAAAGCACAATGGGAGGCAGGGGAGATTGAGAGCTTGGGTTTAAAGTGGCAGATAATGTATATGCTGGTTTAAAAAGAATATAGATTTCTCCTGCTGAGTGGCTAGATGTTTAGTTTCCTATTTCCAGACAGAAATAATGGCAGTTGTGATTTCCCTTGCTCGCTGGGCTATCGGACAAACAGTAGAATAATCACAACGATCACAAAGCAGTACAATTGCCCAGTGTCTTCTAAATAACATATAATCTTCTGTGACTCTCAAGCCACGTCTGTAAAAATCAGTTTCTTCTAGTGCACAATGGAAAAGAAGTTAGAGGTGGCCCGTTGTTGTGACAAGTCAACTCTTGAGGTTGCCATGGCTAGGCCCTACAGCAACTTTTGCACAGATTCTCCCCAGGGGCACTGACAGGTCCCATACATCATCATGGGATGGGTCCTCTCCGAGTACAGTGCTGTGTCTGTGCTGAGCGATAAGGGACTGAGAGACCGGAGGGAGTGAGCCTCCCTCTTGTAACTGCCTGGGAACACGGTGATGACAGCAAAGACATCGAATTAATTATATTTTACTGTCCTGTAAAAATAAATTAATAAAAAACTAAATAGGAAAGCAATAAAGAAACTCGTGCCAAGTGAAATAATGCCATGTCATCGTTTAACGATTTAGATTTCTGATACATCCAAATTACAGAAGGAGCCGGTTGCACCAGCTCTTCATAAAGTCAAATCTGTCACATAATATCATCTGAATCAATGACGTAGCGTCACATGACATAATGTCATCATTAAAAAATAACTAAATTTCTGGTTTCACACAGTACGCCTGTGTGAAACCTGTGTTTGTTTGACCCAATCTACAACCCCTCCCTCCATTAGAGGACTCTCACGCACTTACTACTACATCTGTTGCTCTCAGCATCTAATGATTATACTGGAGTTAGATGAAAGCCTGCTGCGTCTCAGACATTGCTAAAGGGCGTCTTGTGCACTGGTTTCAAGACGCCGAGGGCTACTTTCCAAGCATCGTATATTTGATACGGGTATTTGACACCCTTGGAGTGAGACGAAAGTAACATCAGAATTAAAATTAAAAATGAACTTACATACCTCAAATTACAAAATGTTAGGCCACTCAATTTTTGTAACTTTTGTACTAAGTGAGCATAATTAGACATTTCTCACTCTGAAATGTAATTTTTTCTTTATGTATGTACAAATGAATAAAACAGAGTCATACCTCCATTTACAAAGGGCTAGAAGTTAAATCATATATATTGTTTGCAACCCTAAAGCTGTAACTTTCGGAAGTTACGTTATGTTGTGATGCTACAGTGACTTCCTGTTTACATGCTATAGTAGCGCTACATTTGTTTCCAAGCAAGAAATTCACACATCACATAGCGAGCTAGAAGTTATTAAGAACTGAGAAAGGACTCCATGCATAAACTTGATCGTGGATTGAACAGCTAGTGCAACCCGATCCAGGTGTGTCTCTGCTTCTCAAAGTGTTACTCATTCGTCTAAATTTCTTCTGGCTTCTAAGTTTGCTGGGTAGTGATGATTGCGGTATTTCACCTTTCACTGGGTCTTTGCACTCTCTGGTATGTGAAACTATAACTTTTAAACTAAATGCCTCGTCCATTATAACTTCTGTTGATGCAGTGGCATTTTAATTAGGAAGCAATTAGCGAAGATAAAGAATTGTTTCATTGTGTTGTAACGGAACATAAGTTCATTCAAATAAGTCGTGACCCATGAAGGCATCTTTCGATGTGCATTGGGGAAGTGAACCTCAAACACAATCCTTGTAAAAACAGTTGCTGTAATTCAGTATTCTGTTTTGGATATTTTGCAGAGTGCAAATAAATAAATGCAATAGAGGGATTAAATCACATGTAAAAGCATACCTTATGAGTCAGGGTCTCTTGGAACCTTTTGCTGTAAAAACAGAAAAAAACAGAATATATTTAGACATTAAAGTGTAGTGATTGAATTTTTGTGGTAAAGTGCGTTATCATGTGTTTACTCTTTCAGCTCTAAGACCCACTTTCTTTCCAGGAAAAATCAATTTTTACAAACAAACTAAAAACATATAACCAAATCGAAGGCTCAACAACACACAAACAGCATGCATTGTCTCTAAAAACAAACCGCTTTCTCTCTGGGGAACAAGGACTTTTGCTCTGACATGGGAACAGAGTCGGTTTGTTTGTGATGGTTAAATGTTGCAGCTGATTAAAAGTCAACATGAAGAGGGTCAGGGGTTAGGGGCCAGTCAGGTCACATGGAGAGAAGTCTTAAGTTGAACTCAAACTGTTAGGGCCTTAATGAAATGGGCAGTTAAGTTTCACAGCTCATAAAAAAACCTGTGAACTGCCTGGAATGTCGGCACCTGCAGAATATCCGCATGAGTACCTGGAACATGACCTGAGGGGAAAACACTAAAAGTAGCAAGATGAAGATTGACAGAGTCAGGTGTGTTGGCCCATCACTGCACGACTGCCCTCCAGAAACACAGCTCCGTGTTGTCCATTACAGCTGCAAGGTCTTTTTTTTTTTTCGCCATTCTTTAATATTTTACGAGGGGTGAAGTGTCAAGTTTGCAAAAGTGAGGAGAGGAAAAACTAGGTGTGTGTATGTGAAAACTCTTAAATATTTATAATTGTAAACTGAGGGTCCTCCCCAGGGTCCCTTAAAACAACCTGAAACATAGTAACAATACACAGTTTATCCACTGCTCTACATCGCTGTGCTGTTATGTCAAAGTCCTGGAAGCCATAGCAAAAATATCTACGCTTAATGCTGCATTACTAGTTGTGGTGAAATGAACCTTAACATCATCACTGACAGCAACACTGAGATCAAAAAGATAGAATTATGGCGCTCTTGTTCTTGTGGTACACGTTAGTTCTGAGTGAACAATGTCACTGTTGCTTTTTGCTTTTCCGCTGCCGTTCTGCAGACTTATGGCACTGATCAACTTTATACTCATGTTCCACTGTCATGTACTCCGTCTCACAGACATATAGTGACTTTTACTGACACATACCACTGCTAATTATGACTAGTTTATTATACCCATTCTGCGTGTGACTTATAAATGACTTCTCATTTCTATTTCACTGACCATGCGACCGGTGCCGTTTCTGAATTGTATCTCATGTGGCTGCTGTGTTCGCTGGGTCATTGCGCTCTGGTCCAGGCATGTGAAACTATAACTTTTAAACTAATTGAGATTACGTAGGTAACTCAAGTGAACATGATGTGAGCAGTGACTGCACAGACACCTGCTCACTGGATTGAAAAGAACTGATTGACAAAAACCATTTCGCTGTTTGCTCAGCATTTTTGATGGTCAGCGACTACATCAGAAAAAGAAATCAGTCGACACAATGCACTGTGTGATTTTGACCCAGACCGGAACAGACTTGGCCCAAGTCGGTCCCATCAGTCTCAATGCCAAAATCCTAATCAGCACAGCAGTCACAGTGGGTATCTCCACTTCAACTTGCTAGTGATCACAGTCTTTCAGCAGTCCTACACAACGTTTTCATTTTTGTAGCTTCCGTGTTCCAGAGTGGTTTTAACAGCATACTACCGTGTAATGATTCTGAAGCCATTACAGAGCCTGTTAGTCAACAGAGCGCTGCTATAGCAACAGGATCAACACCATTTAAGTATAGCCTATCACTTCCTCTTCTCTGCTGCCATTTGTTTCTTCCGTCTCTGTTAAAACAGCATCACGAGAACTGAAAATTAAGTGAATTGTCTGTAACACTGCGTATGATAAAGTCATTTAAATAAAAACAGAGTAGCATTTCATGTCTGTACCTCCAACTGAATTTTTCTATCACTCTCTAATATTCTAGACAGCACCAGCACAGCAAACCCTCTATCTTGCCGCTGATAGAACGGGGGGCTACGATTGAAAAGGTGAGAGGTGGACCTGGCTGTGAAGGCGATGTGACACTGCTGCCTTGTACTGTCAGTGGTGATGATAAGAGACAGGAGGTGAACAAAAAGTAGTGACAAGAAATATAGAGTGTGTGTGTGTGTTTGTGTGTTGTGAAAATAAGTGTGCAAATGATGGAGAGCTAGAGGCTCAAAAGAGAAAACGGAGAAAAAAAAAAAAAAATCACAAAGAGAGAATGGGAGCGAAGCAGCAGTGGTAGCAGGGGTCTAACAAGAAAACAACATGGTCAGAAGCCCTGAGAGGTGACATGGGACTGAGGTGCTGTGAGCAGCCACAAACCTTTTGGGGAAGGTGAACTTGATTGCGTTTTGGATGAAGCCGTAGCAACATGGACTGATGACAAATTCGGCTTCGGCCTGGATGCAATGCTCCATCACCATGTCTGTTGCAACGCCACATGCATGGAGGGCAACCTGAAGTGAAACAGACAACAAAAAAAACAAATGCACGTTAAAAAAAGATTTCTTGAAAACCTTTTTTTGTCTAACGGCAAGACAAGAAGTGAGAGCGCTTGAGAGCGTACACTCAATCCCATTGATTACTTCATAATGACTGCTGCTTTTAAATACATCTATGCTCTCAAAGGGTGAACACTCGGGGAGTTAGAGCAAACTAAATGTAGGAGTGGAGGCACAAATGCATCAGGATTCCCATTGAGTGGGTAAACACCTAGCTATACATTAGTAATGGTGTGGTGATATATCGGAGGGTGGAAAGACCAAATATTATAGCATGTCTGCATTCCAGAATGCAAAAATACATTATGATTTATAAAAAGGAAATGAGTTTAACATCCAAAGTAGAGTGGTAAAGTAGATGATTTCCTCTCAGGCGTACATTAGCGAAATAGATTCTCTGGTAATGGTCCACATGAAATGCATTATCAACGGTCTGATGTGACAATAGCTACTTGGGCACACTGACATTAACCCTGTCCAACTCGAGCAGCCACCCCAAACTTCTATTCTTGTCTTACAAGAAGTTGTCTCTTGGCGTCCGGGAGTCGAAATCTACTGCACGTTGCCTTGACAGCAGTGCCATAGAGACTCGGTCAGGACAGGGCTGAGCCAAGTTTGGCAGCAACTACAAAAGATTAGAGAAGATACCCTCTAGACTCTCTAAACATGGCCAAACCCACTCGTGAACTCACTGAAATGTATGGGTGGGGGTACATTTCTCAGAGGTGCTTAAGCGCTCCCTGGAAGTTGGACAGCTGCAGCAATCCTTCACAGCTCACAACTACACAAGAAATGTACATGTGAGTTCACAAACCGCACTAGGAAACTAGTCTTCTTCAGTCCACTTCACAAAGATGCGGACTGATTTAAAGAGGAATTTATACAACGACTGCACATATAAAATAAAGACCAGAAACTCAGAAAATTAACATCAATTACCTGCATGGCCTTGCATCTATTAGACACCTAATTGTCTAACCTGCATTTATTCATGACATCAGGAAAAGGCCTAGCTTATGTTCTTTCAACAGTATGTTTCAGACTGCTGATTAGGAGGAGACTATATCAGAGATTGCATGATGTTACATCCTACACATCTAAAGAAAAAAGAATTAACAAAGTAACACCATCACTCTTTTCCAGCTACTTAATGTTGCACATTAGTCATGCTGTGGTAAATCCTAATTACTTTTCATAACCTCTAGCCTTGATTTAACACAAACACAAAGCCACTCATCCAAAAGAAACTTAAATAAAACACATTCTGATATGTTCTGATAATTCATTATGCATTATGCATTTGCAATTCTTGATCAACAAAGCATCCTTCCTTTATCAATGGCTAAGACTTTCTTTTGTCTTTGTCTGTTTAAGCATTATTAATAATGTTATGTCCCAGCCCAATATGTAACGTGGGATACTAATTAAAAAATGGAGGAAAATAAATACAAGGCTGAGTTAAACCATTCGATAGACATAAAGTATTTCATGCATTTGATTAGGAAGAATAAATCATAAATCAATATGCAACAACCAAAAGGACCAAGGGCCATTTATAAAACTGTGTTCTTTGATTAATCACTCTTTTGGGGAGAGGAAAAGCTGTTGTTTTGTATCTGTATCTTCCTCTCAATAATCACATCACAGAAATAATGAGGCTTCATTATTCACACTTATTCAAGTAATTACATCCCTCTCCTATCCTATCAGACAGAACAAGTCCCTGCAATAACGCCGACTAAAACTCTTCTTAATCAACACCACACTCTTCTGCAGCAGTGCAATACTGTTATAGAGAGGTGTGACGAGGCCGTTTTTAATAGCTTCGTCTTTGCCGCATTGGAGTTGTAAATGTGCAGTTCATTAAGATATCACTCTTAATAATACCTAGCGATTCAAGTAAAACAGGTCTGTCATCAATAAGAATTTGATATCAGCAGAACTTCCAAAAATGTTGAGAGTTTCTGGTATGTGAGCCTTGTTTTGTGTAGTTTTCCTCCCAAAGGTGGCTGATACGATATTGCATTTGACTGGAGATGAACAGACATAATCTCATGTGTCCAAAAAATAAAACAAAACAAAACATAGAACCCTTAAATGACTAATTGATAATATTAATATTTCTTTCTTCCTAACATACAACAAGCAAACTCAGGCAGTTGTTGCACAAAAAAATAGTAATTTTCTTTGATATTTTTTTACAACTAACGTAGGCCTAATTTTCTTAAGTTTTAATCATTTCCAGATAGATTGATTCATTATTATGATTTGTACAATGTGATTTTTGTAGAATTGCATAGGTCGTAACACAGAGTGCTATGAGAGTGAGCCCTGAAGCAACGCCACCTCTGCTGCACAGAGCCCTGTTCGCTTGTTTATTTAAAGGCCAACTAGTAAATGTGTTGCACGTCCAACCTGCACCAACATCGACACTGCGCGTCCTCGAGTCCCCAGCAATACAGCCACCGAGTGTGAAGTAGATCGGAAGAACGGTTCTTGAGATATGCGAAGGACCCACATAGTGAACACGCATAGAGAGTGTCTTCGCTTCATAGTTAACTTAGATACATATGGCTTAAAGTAATAACGGCAAGTACACTTTTCTTCACACAAACGGAGAAGTCTACCACAGGAATCAATTGGAAACAATCAGACCCTAAAGCAGAACCAGTAACGGATGAAGTCAAATCTAAATCAACTTCAAGCTCCACAACTTCTCCTGCCTTCAAAGGTGTGTTCACTGTTATTTGAGAAGAGAAAGAATACAAACTATATACACTGTATGCAAAGGCTACGAGTCGAACACCGGTGTTATGCTACTGAAGACAGGAAGAGCAGACACTGTCTAAGAATAGGGACACCTCAACTTAATTAGTCTGATTAAATGAGCGGGACTAAAAATGGGACCATGTATAATACATAACTGGATTAAAAACCAGTGTGATGGGTGGCTCCTTCAGGTGAGAACATCTGTGTCATGCAGGAAGAAGCTTAGTCAAAGCAACAGCTGAGGCCGCATCGAAGTTGAGCTACGAATCTCAAGCGGTGCAGAAAAGTACAAACGTATGCACCTGCTTCATACATACATTTTACTGTTCATTGAAAATCCATGTGTCTGCGTGTAAACTCTCTGACTAGGCTACAAAAAAAATAAAAAATAACACCCACATATTGTAGAGAAGAATAATCTATGCTGTTTGTTTCTTGCCAAGTGGAACGGGTCTCAGTGGAGTGACGATGCTGGAACAATAGCTTCTAATTACAGCAGGTTCATATATAATCCTATTTGTCCCAAAGAGAGTCAAAGTGAGGCTACTAGAACAGCTGGCTTTTCTAAAACTGGGCTATGACTCACGGCTGGAAGATGTTTGGGGGAAGACACTGACCTGAGACACGCAAATAATCAAGAGTGATGATGGTAAAGATTCTCTTGGAGAGCAAAATGTCCCCTTGTTTGGAAACAGGGATTCAGAGACTCTTCATTAGCTGGGATGAACGTTGTTTTTAAATCCCAAAGACCTGGTTTTGCCTGACACAGCCAGATTCAAACAGCCAATAAACAACCACAGTTAAGAACCCATTTGATCTAAATTGATAGTAATTATCTGTTTGAAAAGTCAAGAGCTCTGCAGATGAAAGTGGGTGTTTTCCACTTGCAGCAGGACAGTGCTACCCAATGCTGATTCTAGATTGTTTCAGCCCCATTAAACATAGAGACTGAAAGCTAGTAAAATATTTATTCTGTTGTTGCAGGTATAAGCTGTGCCGAATTAAACACATTTACTAAGTTGGCTCTTTAAGCTTAAAGAACACAAACTGCAGTCTTGGCAGATATATTGGTGTAAAAAAACAACAACTGTGTGATGAATTGAGAAGTAAAAAGGTGACACGGCCAAGTTGACTGCATAAAACTTGAAATGGCTGACAAACCTTTTTTCTACTTTTATTACAAACACTTTCCAAAGATTACACCTCCTTTTTCGAAAGAGACTCCTTCAACCTCGTCAAGTCATGAGAGCATAACTCTTCATAAAGATCTTGGCAAAAATGATTTTGAAAGCAAACCAAAGGGACAGTAGTAGTAAGCAAGAACAAAGAAAGACAAGCCTCACTGAAGAGATCCCTGGACTCTGACATTAGCTTTGCCCTTTATTTTCCGGGTAAAACTACCTTTTTGGCTTTCCAATAATCAGAGAGGAGATGGTGACATACACTGCTTGACTGAAGTGCAGGCCACTAAAAGGGTTCTGATTAAAAGCTCCTCTTCAGGAAATGAAAAGCCAACTTAGCTGCGCTGATAAAAAAATAACAGCACGATGGCATTTTCACTTTCTGGAAAAAGGATGAGGGAGGGACATGTCTCTCCATGGGATGTGTGGCGGGGCTTCTCCAAAATATAAAAAAAGTATTAAGATTAAAAAAGTCAACGTTCAGGCACCTCGCAGTACAGTTGTGAATGTGACAGAGTAGGAAGAAAATAAAAATGTGTTTACTTTTCTGTTTCAGTGCGTCATCAGAAATGAGAAGCACTGAGTTATTGTCTTGGTTATCATGACTGACATTTTAAGGAAAAGGTAATGTTGCATGTCATGAAAGCCAAATTATGAGAACTGTTTTGACAGCAATGCTTTCAAGCAGCATGCTTGAAAAATTAAAGCGATACGGAGCTGGATGATTACTCTGTTGATAAGGCTGTTGCAGAATTTCAATGCAGCAAAATAAATCAATGTCATGGACTTCTTGATGTAAACACATTGTGTTTGCTTTGTAGCTCAATAAGATGATCGTTATGACTAGGGCTGACCCTTCTTAGTCGATTAGTCGACTGATTGGTGGTTTAGGTCTTAGTCGACTAAGATTTATTTGATCGTTTAGTCGTATTCTACGGTTTTGTCACGCTATATGAAGAAGCTTATGAACACATCTCTGGTAAACACAAGATTTTAAATGTGTTTGTGTTTTAAATATCTGTAGATTAAATCAACTAATCGAATAGTAAGAAAAAAAACATTAGGCGACCAAGACGTTCTTTGGTGGAGGACAGCCCTAAATGCAACAGCGGGACAACAGTGGCTTCATTATTTTTCTTCTTGATTCTTTTGTTCCTAAAAGAGCTAATTTTACAAAATCTAAATGGAAAGAGCTACTTGTTGTACATCGGCAATAGCAGACATCATTTCTGTTGTACTGTAATGGTCCTTTAACGTTTTAGCTGCAGCAGTCATTGCCTTTATTATAATCCCAAAAAATGTGAAGGATTTTGTACATCGTTAGGATGTGTGCCACGAAACCACTCACAAACGATTAGCGAGCTACTAGTAGCTAGCAAGCTACTTGTTGTAGACGCCTACTTCAGAGTTTGCAAACCAAGTGTCACTGCTCATCACATGCTCCCTGTGTCAGAACACACTTTCACTGATCTGTTGAAAAGATATTGTGAAAGTGTGAAAGGAAATTAAATTTGCTAAAAATGTGGAAACAGCAAAATCAGATTGTGATTAAAGTTTTATAATAAATAATTCTATCGAAATACAGTAAACAAAATCAGTGCTACTGTGGCTGCTATTTCATCCAAATTAGAATAGGATAAAACAGTGCAGTAAATGATATTGTGACTACTTAATAATTGTATTTGAACTATGGTTTGATTTGAATGATTTTACCATCACAAACAACTGTTACATCGCATTTGCTTGCAATACTTTCGCAGTCATTTCGAAATGATTGTCTAAAGAATCTATAGGTCATCATACGACTGGAGTAAAATTGATATAGTGTTGTATAATGTTACACGTTACACTCACCCCAATGTGAAACGGTCCGGTGAAGTAGTCCAAATTAGCCTGAATGAAGCCGATGTTTTTCAGACCGAGCTGAGCGCCACGACTCTGAGCCCTGACCAACGACTCTTCTTTGTTCTCTATGAGGATGACCTTAAATAAAAGAAAATAAAAACACAGCGGCAGATGATTGAAAATGTTTTAAATGACCTGGAATGAGCTATAATACAGTTTAAATGTGTGTCAACATTAAGCAATGTTCAAAAAGACTGAGATCTACGCAGAGGAAAAAAAATGATATATTTTATTTAGCTTTCAAAATTAACAAAAAACACGACCTCATTAAAGTGACAGACAGATGACATCATAGGAGGAGAAAAAGCAAAATAGTCAGACAAAACATAACATGACTAAACTATGTTATATGATGATTGTAGGGATGCATTTAATGATTGATAATCATCATTTATTAATAATAGATGAATTGGTTTATCTGCAGATATCTTCATTTATATCTTCATCATTAAAAAAAGAATGACAAATGGCTGTTAAAAGTTACCAAAGTAAAGTCTTCAAAATGCTCATGTTGTCGGAGCAACAAAATGTAATGACACGACACACACACACACACACACACACACTTGCACAAATACACACGTTACCTGGCAATCTGGGAGTGTGTGAGCCAGAACAATCCCGACATGGCCCTGAGAGAAAGAAAGAGAAAGCATGCATCAACGGGGCTACAGTGGAGTTATGATTAGTGCTACCCTTTCCAACAAAGTATTGACCCTTATGTCACGCAGCGCTACCGCTCTGAGCATTTTCATTTAAATGCAATTACCATTCCGTCTGTGTACACCCTCCAACAACAAAAGTCATTTAAAAAGGCAACAGCACCAGGGAATACGAGCACTAGTTCCTAATGGAGCGGCAGCCCGATGTGGCCATCGGGTGCGGCGATAAATATGCATGCGATGCGATGCGATGCTTGACCGATGGATGAATGCGGTTACCGTTCCGCTGCAGAAATCCACGATGGTGTGTCCGGGCCTGGCTAGCTCCGTAACCATGGCAACCAAGTTGTTCAGCTGTTGCCTCTTCCGGACTGAGCGGATATTTGACATTTTCCCTGCAAAAGAGCCCAAGTAGAAAGCAACAGGTTTTTTTTCTCCAGGCAACTAATCAGAAAAGTCAATTAAAAACAAAAACTATTAAACATGAAGGAGTTTGGTTATGATTATAAAAATCTATTTTTGCAGCTAGGTTGGTTCCAGTCGATAAACAAAACCCCCCCAAAAACAAAAATCCCACCATAAATGTATTACTTTGTCGGCTTTTCTCTGTTGTTAGAGAGTCAACAGTCCTCTCCCCACAACTGCTCACATTTTGATTTACAACCAGCCATCTCAGGTAATGGTTATAGTACACAGATGATGTTTCCAGCCTATTGCCAACTAGGGAGAGCAGACAATCTTTCAACTTAATCAAAAGCAAGTCTTCGAGCCAAAAAGTGTCCTCCTTGTTTGTGGCAGAACTTTCTGCCGCTGTGAGAGCAGTATGAACCCCATTAACTCAAAGCACATTTCCGTCTCCTGCATCTTCATTACCCGTCTGCTAGCACGCCACATCGGCAGTGAGCCGTCGACACGCTGTGCCTGTGCCGTCTCTGGTCCATAAATCTAGAGTGATGAGTGTTTCATTTGCCCCACAGTCACAGCCTCGTATCCACAACAGAAAAAAATATTATTTCCTCACGTTCCTGCTCACACTGCTTTGTATACGGCAACAGGGGAGGGTAGAGAGAGCGAACGGGACTTTTCATTCCACCGACGAGTACATTTCATAGCGTCGTTATTTAGGCTGTTATTGAGCTGATCCCAGTTGTGGGGAGAGCACAATGAAGAAATTGAGGGATGAATTTAAATACAGAAAAACAGCAGGGATGTCATTGACAAGATTCTGTTCTCCATTTGGATGAGTAGCTCACATGGGAGCAGGCACTGCTATGCATCTGCAGCTCCAGAGGGGCTTCGGCATAGAGGCCTTTTGATGCATCTTAACACAATTGCAATATAGAGTGGGCAGAAATGAAAATAGAATCAAAGATGTGGTTTAGTGTGGACCAATGGAATAACCTAACAATGTAACAGTGCAGATCAACACGTTAAACCTGCAATGATTGGATTTTATTTTCTTTTTTTGCATTTGGGGGCTGTAACACTTTGCCATATATCAACTTTATCTTATCAAATTGATATTGCAATCAAACAGACGTGAAGCAACATGAGGGTTAGTTTGAATTGGTGATACTTAGCAGGTCTATTTGCTGAAAACACCTGTCTGCTGCAGATGAAAACGACGCTATGAGAGCTGTGAGAGTCTGAATCAGTAAATCAGAGTCGGCTTTATTGGCCAGGTAAGGAGCACACACACGAGGAATCGGATTCTGTTTTTTTTGTTTCAACAGCTAAACAACAAGGACGACAAAGCTGAACATGAGTAAACATAAACATTTATATATTATGAAGAGATTGTGTGTGTGTGTGTGTGTGTATGCAACATGTCCACACACACACAAAGCATATAATGTATTAGTTTCTATACATTTCTGTAAAACTAGTGCAAATTGCAAATATTCTGGAAAAACAATTGAATGATTTGTAAATTATGTTGAGTTTAGTTTGTTTACTTTGAAGATGTGGCCCTGATATTCAAAACAATGAGCTGAAAGACGCTGTATAGCTTCACAGAGCTGAGGGGAACTGCAGAGTTGAGTGATAACTATTTGTGGATACTTTCACATACAAGTAGTGCAAAGCTACAAGGGATTGAAGTCAGTTACACAAGTTGGAACAAAACTAAACTGAAGTGCAATAGGTGTAGACAGTTTTCTTTGTTTAAAAAGAAAACTTTTTCATTGATCCTGATGCATTTCTAGTGAAACAAGACTTTTGATGAAAGGTCGCCACACAGCTTCAGGTGAAACCCATCAGCTACATAGGACTGAGTGGGTGGCAGCAGCAGAGCTAACTACATGCCAGTCCACCTCTCCCTGTGTTTCTAATTTCATTTCTTTATGTGGTTTCAGTGAAAAGAATAATAGAGCTCTTAAAAGTTCACGCCCTGGGTTGCCTTTATTGCATCTAATAGACTTAATTTCAGATGAAAATCATAATGTATCAAACAGAGTAGAGGTGTGAAAAGAAGAACAAGAGTGGAAAGACACTGTAGAGATTACTGAACAGATCCATATAGGCTTAACAAAACCAATTAAATATTTTATTATGTCTTGAAATGTTCTTGAATTTCAAATGTTAACCAATAAAACAAAGTGGATCTTCCTGCAATATAATTCACTTAAAGTTTTATAGAAAAAAAGACGTAAAATGTGTTACTTATTCTCTTAAAATTCTTTATTTCTCCTTTGAGTCCTCAAATAAAAGTATCAGTATTTTTGAATTACACCCTAACATGAAAACAAATATTGAATTCTGGAAATTCTAGGCTATATGTCACATAACTAAAAGAGGGGTAATATGGATGCTTACTTCATTCACATCTCAATTTCTACTGCTGTAGGAATTATACTGTATTAAGTTCCAGACTAGATGTATCCGTTGACCCTGCCCGCTGCCTCACAGGTAATGAGCCCATAAGGTATTGCTCAAACATCGCTTCTTTGCTAAGAGGGTCACACAGACACGACTAGCAGACAAGCAGCTCCCCTTTGGGCTTCATGAAACTTCATAATCAGTCGTCTCTCAGGAGGATCTCTGCATTGACTTTCAACACACTGAACAGAATGCTGATAGTGGATGACTGTGAAAAACGCTATATTATGTTCAATGACGAGGTTTCTGAATGTTCAAAATGTCTGCATTTTTTCCACCACACTTGTTACTTGGGTTGTTCCCAAATCTTAACTAATAAACTCCTTTCAGGAACTGCTCTCACGACCCATAGGGCACTAAGTGGTCGGACTACCACACGCCTGGATAAACTCACAGAAGGTTTTATGACATCGCCGTTCTCCTTTTATGAGCATCTCCATCCCTGAGGAGCAGAGAGGACACAGACACACATCTGAGTCCGAGTCTTGATGCAAAACAACATGTACCTGAATGTACGGTTGAGCTTATAGTTGGATCCTTGTATTTACTTATATTTTGAATCTACCTCAGCGTAACCAAATTCACTTTACCCTTTTAACTGTTTGTTTTTTTGCATTTGTTCTAATCTTGTTCTGTAGTCATACAAAACTCATCATACATTACTGCCTTATTATAGTGTGTCTTTATACATTAATCGTGCCAGCTTGACATTTACCACAGTGAAAATATGTGAGTTCATATATAATTAGTTACATCCATGATAATCACTGTTTGGTAGTGTTCTGCAGCTGAGATAGGCAAGCTGTCAAATATGGAAGAATTAAATAGACTACGCAGTTGACTAGTATTAATTCTGCAAAATAAGGTTAAATTAAATAAGAAGAGAGTGTTAGAATGGGAGTGGTTAGCTGCTCCCGCCATACACTGCACCCCCCCTGTCTCAAGAAGATAAAGCAAGAAGACGTCGGAGGACACCGCTCTTCTCTCTTCTACTTCGACTCTGGACTTTGACGCTGATCTATGATCCCCCACCCCCCCTCCCCATCCGGCCCGGGAGGTGGGGGAAGCGGGCAGTTCTGTCCTTCTGCAGGCTCAAAGACCCACTGCGAGCCGACACATCTACAGGACACAAGCTGAGGGGACCTCCGGGCGACCTGAGAAGAAAGAAGCTTGTTTCTAAAATACCACAAATATTTGATAAGTTTGAATCCTGCTGGCCAGATCTCTCCCTCGCGGCTCTGATGGTTCTACCTCTTCTCTGGCCTTGTGTTCCTGACCCGTCGACTACAGCCATCCCGTGCCGTCTAATGTGCCATGCAGCTCTGACCTGCGATGCACCAACGTGCTGAAGATTTGTTCCAGCAGCTATTGAGAAAAATAAACTGGCAAAGATAACACAACGACCCCCGCAGCTACAAAGGGGGGGTGATAAGATGATTCAGCATCCTGCTGAGAAGGAGAGAGGTATGGAGATGAGGATACCAGAGAAAGCCAAACTGCCACAGAGCGAGAGATGGAAGAATGCGATTCTAACAAACTACTATTATCCAACAAGATGCAGCGATGTCCACTTAAGAACAGCCGCCACTCCAAACAGCTTAACCTCCCATCTGCCCATCACAACCGTCAGGTGAAAACAACACAGCTTCCAGATGTAAATGAGTTTGATGTTTCTAGGCTGTATACATTTAAGTCAGATCATAAAATAATCTTGGATAGAAATATTCATAAAACAGATCCATAAGCTTTAGACCGAAAGATCTAAATTAAATTAAAATTAAAACTAGTATAAAATTGCTTCAAACTCTTCCCTGGTGCTACTCAAACTCTCCACTGCTGAACGCTGCAAACATTTCTTTGAGCAAAATTGAATGTATAAACGTAAAACGATGAATTTAATTGATAGACATCAATTAAAGATATGAGTCACTGATTCTACCTGGTGACATACAATGCTTTTTCATTATATTGTTGCATCATCGTTATTCATTGTATTCTTCATCATATTCTTTATTTATTCTATTCATTTATTTATTTTCTGTTTAGTAGTTTAGTTATGTAGTTAGTCTAATTAATATTTAATTCATAAAAAAGTTTTATAAATAATAGTTTTGCCTATTTTTCCAAAATTGGTTGATTTCTTGAATTTAAGTTAAATTCTCTAACTTGTATTAATGATGTCTTATGAGTACATCATTCTTTTTATACAAATTTATGGGTTTATGATTCATAATTGAGTTAATCATCGTTACATATTTTGATATGAATTCATTATTATTTATTAAAACTGCTACCAGCAATAACACTACAATAATGTTAAGTTAAAGCAAAACACTCTATATCTATATATGGCAAATAGACTGTTACATTTAGACAGCTAAAACACACATTTTACACACACTAAATACTAACATGCTAACATTTAGCAAGTATAATGTTTATCATGTTCACCATCTTAGTTCAGCTTGTTAGACTGCCAACATTTGCTATAAGAACTAAACACAAGTACGAGATAAAA